GCGACCTTACTCACTCCCCTCAACTCGCTTTCGCCCCTCTTCGCGCCCACCTGTACTCCTTTCCACCTTGCGCGCCGTCGCTTCCTTCCCAAAACCCCGCCTCCTCCTCCGACTCCTCCGCGTCCCCCGGCGCGCGCATGCGCCGTTGCTCCTCCGCCTGCAGCAGCTCCAGCAGAAGCTGCTCGCCCGCTGCGCTCTCCCCGTCGCCCTCGCGCCCCATGCTCCGCAGGACCGACGCGCGCCCGTCCGCCTGGGCGCGGGTGGCTTCCGCCATCTCCTCGTGAACGCGCGCCAGGATGCCCGCCAGCTCCGCGCTCTCCGCCTTCTCACTCCCCCCTGCACTCTTATCCCCAATATTATCTGCATCGTTCGCAACAATTCCATTCGGTTCTTCGCCGCTCGCGGCGGCGACGAACCGGCTGGAGTGACTGCGGCTCCGCGGGACGCTCCCGCTCTGCCGACCGGGTAGCCGCGACAGCCGTAGCGATATAGAATAACGGAGAAGCTGATAGCGAGACGGCGGAACTAAGGGCCGCCATTGGTGGTTGGAGGGGGGGGCGCGTAGGGTGGTTCCAGAGTGCAAGCGGGGGTGCAGCGGGTGGCGCGACACAGGATATGCCTCCATGCGCTCGCCCTGCCGGCAAGGGAGCAGGCGAGCGTCGTGTTCCCGCGGTTTCTGACACTACCTTTTGAGACGTCAGACACAAACGCTATCACAGTCAACGGGCATAGTGCTCGTGGAAGGTGACGCGAAAAAAAAAAAAAAAAACCTGCAGAGGTGATTGTGAAGTTGCTGGAAATACATGCGTCGTCAGAAAATGGAGGTGGAAATGGACGTGCTGGTTTGGTTGCACGCAGCAGCGATGAGAGAGAGGCACGAAGCTGTTGACTGGGTAGGGAGGGAACACTCTTTTGAAAAGCAGGTGGCGATGCGATGCGGGTAACAGGAGTTCGGATAACGCTGTGGAACCTGGCCGCAGATTTATGTCTTGATGAAGTTGTGCGAAAAACCTCGACTACAAGCTGCTGCACTGTTAATCTGCAACATTGCATTATACATGAGTGGGATAAATTCATGAGTGTTGCTTGTGCACTTGAAAGCGCGAGTGAAGATTGCACTAAAGAGTCAAACGAGTACAAGTGTGAGCGAACGTATATAGCGAACATAGCAAACGGTAACCGGAGCGCGCGAGCTAGCTAGTGCGACGCTGGCAACGAGGTCCGGGCTAGTCCCGTAGCGTAAACCGACTTGGCCAAGTCTACTGTGTATGGCATGGGAAATGTGACGCGCGAAGTGGCGAACACCGTCGGCGATAGCAAGGCAGGGCGCGCCCTTCTTCTGGTCCATGTACTTGGCAACTCGCAACTCAGATCGCCTTCCTGGGCTGTCCCAACTTCGAAGTAGGGACAGCGAAAAGTGCACTTCGCACGTGCAAGTGAGTAGTCATTGTGATGAGGTGGAAGGCAACGAATCTGGACATCGCGTGAGTTCACAGACCCTGAACGTGCGAAGACCCCCCACGATGAGACCCTTTGACGCGTGGCGAGAAAATGTCGAGGGTTTAGGGCTGCGAACGCTGACTGTAAATTGAGTCGCGCATGCAAATCTGATTGGGCGTTAGGTTTCGCATACTCCTAACGATCACACACATCAGAATCGGCTTGCACATGGGGTAGACGTGGAAGCTGCCAGGGTGGACAAAAAAATCTGCACTTTTGGGGCTGTCCATGTCCAGACTTCGCAGGAAGGCCATCTCAATTGCCGAGCTCCAATGGCCATGTCATGTCCAGGTGCTACCTACCATGCAGTTAGGACGCGGTGCAAGTGCAAATATCGCAGGATCGTCTGCAAATATCGAGCCCCACAATCGAGTGGGCAGATAGATTGGTGAAACGTGGCGACCGCGACGTTGTAACGATCGCCCCTTTAGAATTGACAGATCTCCCACGAGCAGTGATCAGTCGCATTCGCACACCGTACAGAAATTTTGGCAAAAAAGAGTACTGTAGCATGGTTACAGCATAGTAAATAGGGTAACCGATCCGCACATCGATCGTGACTAACGATCGGTCGTCCACTTTTACCGCGTCCTTAGGGCGAGCAGTTGGACAAGGAAAGTGGGCTGCTGGTAAGGTAAATATGGCACCCTCCTTGTGTTTCCGCGACAGAGTGCCGCACGTACCTGATGGGCACATTTATGTGCATTCGGGGACAAACTACAGAATATTGATGTGTCAAATTCTCAAACAAGAGCTAACTGTGGTTCTGTAAGATCACCATTATAGAACAATCTAAACCTTGTACAACGTAATCCTGCCCAATAGCTGGCATCCAAGTATCCGTGGCAAGAATAGAATTGTACTTGAGAAGGTGAATTACCCTGAAAGTAGGGAACGTACCCTGTAAGCACCTAGAGGTGGTTGATTGTGGTGGACCTTACTACGGTACACACTGAGGGATTATGGTATGAGGCTTGCCTGATACGGTACAATGCACGAAGTGTTTGGGATTTAGGTAAACTTCAGTGTGATGCTACGCGAGTCTGATACCGTATTCTCCCGGATAAAACACCCCCCCGCAATTGTACACCCCCGGGTAGCTAATACGGGGTGGGTGTTACGGTATATCCGACCCCGTTTGTACTATACCCCCCCTTTTGGGGTGATTTTCTATAACACCCCCTTTTCTTATAGATTCCTATTATAGCTGTTATCGAGTCCGATTCCTTACGGGAGGATATCGCGAGAATTGCTCCCTAGGTGAAATTTCGCGTGTACTTTCACTTAAAATCTGCCAAGATTTCCCCCCTCCCACAATCTCGCTGTCGCCACGCTGGCGAATCTTCCGCTGCAAGTGGGCCAATAGGTGAAAATCACCTTCTCACATGAGGCACAGACAGACACGTGACCAAACCAGTCAAGAAGTGACTGGTACAGTAAGAACGCACCACTGTGCGCGATTCTGGCCTCGGCGGTTGCATGAACCCTCGCCACGCAATTGGCTTTGTTTTCACCCTATCAAGTGCCAAAATTGCCCACTCGAATATGCCACGTGGCAGATTCCAGTGGGCGGTCACGTTATCCTCGTATACTCGGTTTTGCGGCACTGGTCAACAATCTTGAAGTGAAGTCAGACACCTGATTTTGTTTCACATCTTTTCTACTTGATAAAAAAATGTAAAAATTTTAAAGTTAAACTTCTAAAAATTTGAAGATTGTGATTCGACTAGAAGATGAGTTTGCTGTAAAGGAGACAAACTCCTTTTCATTCCCGCAGGTCTCTCAGACCTGCCACCTAGTCTCATTTCCATTTTCAGATCTCCAATTTGCTTACCACCAGCACACTCCCTAAACCCCTCCTATGCCTAGAGTTGGGCATAGGAGCACTTTAATCAACGACGTGATCAACGTCAGGTTTTCAACCATGGCGTCTGGCTTTGTTTCCGCAGTAACCGGCCGACCCCCCGCTCCACGAATGGTTACGCGCAGCAGCGGAAGGCGTGCTTCCCCGCCAAGAGATGAGGATCGCGCATCTTCCTCCCGCGATCGCTCAAGATCGCCACGTCAAAATGGCGGAAACGCAACATTGACCGCGCTGGACCTGTTGAATGGCGCGAGACAGCCTCCTCCTTCTGCACCTAATGTCGTCGCCGACGGACCTGGTAACGAGCGTGGGCCCCCCGGATTTCATGTCGAGGGGCGAGCGGCACGTGCAACCAACGACCCGCCTCAGCCAGGCGAAAACGCCCCCGCGCGCCAGGGTCCTGCAATCCAAGCACAAGACCGCAATGATCGCGGTCCTGCACAAGCAGATCGCAATCATCGCGATTCTGCACGTGCAGATCGCAATCAGCGAGATTCTGCACGTGCAGATCGCGACCGCGATTCTGCACGTGCAAGTCGCGAGCGGGATCCTGCGCGTGGCGAGCGTCAGATTCGGGAGCCAGCACGCGAGGATCACCGCCCCGATTCTTCAAATCGGCGCGCGAATCAGGGCGAGCAGCGAGATCCGCAGAATCCGGCAGCTGGGATTGCCGAAATCGCTGAAATCATTGCTCGCCTTGACCCCGCCAGCCAGCAGAATCTGAGGCGAATGTTCACTGAAACTGGCGGCGAACGCGTTATGGCGTGATCCAGCGCTTCTACAGGGCGCCGTGTACCCGAGAATTATTCGGCGCGCTACACTGGAAACAACACCGGAGCGGCAGCAAATAATAACGACGCAATCGGCCACGTGATCGGCCTTCTCGCGGCGCTTCAGCGCGGCAACAACGGTGAAGCCGCAGCAACAGCTGATCCTGTTCGTCCAGCTGCCGCAGCAGCAGCAGCCCGTCCCCGCGCTCCCCCTCCTCCTCTTAATCCCGAGGGTGACGACGACGACGACCACGACAACGTTGAGAACCTCGACGAAGGTAATACTACTCGTCTCAAGGCCAATCCAGCAACCATTAGTCTTGCCCCCATACCTCCTGCACGTCCTCAATTACGCTCCTCACTCGTCAAAAGCGACGGCATTCGTACTCAACTTTTTAGCTTTGAACGCATTCAAGCTATCGCTCGTTATGCCTTCTCGATTTTACCTTCCCACGGTGGCGAGCAACTCGCTGATTACCTTCAGCAAATCATTGACGAGGCTGAAGAAAAGATTCATTTCTTATTTACCGCGGATCAGCGCGGTTTTGAAGTAGCCAACATGGCTTTAAAGATTAAGTACGGCGAGGTGGTGGAAGATAAAAACGTTAAGGCCGCCACCCAGATTGTGGCGGCCAGCAAAAAATGGCCACGCGGGCCCACATCCACTTCCCGTCCAAGCCCTGCACCTCGTAATCGAGGCCAAGGGGAACGCCATTGGACCTGGCGTAGGGATGGCGATGGGCGTTGCTTCTATTGCCGAGAGCCCGATTGTCCGCAGCGGGGCCAAGGGGCCAACCAACCTTCTAAGATTGTTTAAGATTTGTGTTTGGTTGTTTTCTTTATTATAAAGACTATTTGGACTTACCCGTCGATCTAAACATTCCCGATATACATCAATGTCAAGAGTTGTTTATTTTAAAAGAGATCATGCAAAAAAAAAAAATATATCAACAAACAACAAACAAACAGACAAATAAGAAGATTATCATAACTGAGAGCGTGATTATGCATTACGCCCCTAAACTTCGCTCTTGAAAAACCAAAAAAAGGGGGGAGAGAGACACAATCAGAGAAAAGAGAAAAAGGAAAGAGACACAACAGAGAGAAGAAATAGGAGAGAGAGACCGATTGAAAGAGACGATGGATTCTACAATTTGGTGACACATGGGTGGGCATGTGCGCCCTATGTGAATCAAGAAAAACAGGAATGGGAATGACTAAGTGAAAGTTGGGTACAAGAAGCAAACCCTAGAAAACTGTACCCCATATGTGCTACCCCACTCTAGCCTACAATAGCTATGTCATATAAATCTGACACACCCCCATAGGCAAAGTGGGGGAGAACAAGGGGTCACAAGACCAGTCAAGCAAAGCAAAGCAAAAAACAAGCTCAGGGTGGATCACAAAGTCACCACACATTCCGAGCACAAGTTCAAGGCCACAAGGCCAGTTCACAAGCAGGAGTACACATATATATAAAAAAGGCTAGAC